GCAGGGACACTTGGCCCTCTACACACAGCCTCAGGTTTGTAAAGAACAGGGACAGACACAGCACTTCCTTCATGAACACTGCCGTTCCCTGCCTCAGGACCTTCATGTCTGACCTCAAGATGGAATTAAGTGACCCTGGCACTAAAGTCTTTCTGAATGTCTGGCTCTAAGAAATGTCTCAGACTTTGCCCTTCTCCCCAGTATGTGGAAGAAAACTTCTCATTTTTCTCAGACTCATCTTTCAGTTTAAAAATGCCATTAGCTCAGCTCATTATGGGATGTTTACATGTGATACTTAACTTTCGAAAACCTAGGGATTTTCTGTTTGCCTTTGATATTCAGTTATGTGATTTTACTGCAGGGAGCTATGTCTTTTTACTTTTTTGTTATTTCTCTCCTTTAACTTTCTCTGGACATTTCAGTATGAAATCTTTCATATTCTTTAAATTCTTTTAAACTTATTTCTTAATGATTCTACTTCAAATGTTTAATTTTCATAACTAATATATCTTGTCCTAAAACTTTCTTGTCCCTGTTTGATACTGCTGATATCATCATCATCCCTCACTACCTTTTGTCTGTCAAAACCCTCAAAGCAGGTTGCTGCCTTTTTTTTTTTTCTTTTGAACTATTTGAACTCTTTAAAGGTCTTATTTTTGTGCTTACAAGTGCTTATGGCATGAGGTTACTCACTATACTGTCTGGCAATTCAGACAGAGATCGAGAGTACAAAAATTAGCAAAACAATACAATAAACAATAAAACTGATAGAAATGAGCCAATTCAAGCCCAATTAGAGCATGGAAATGCAGGTTTACTGGGAGCAGCTCTCAGGCGTGTTCATCCACATCACAGGAGGTGTTCAGTGAAGTTACCATACAGAGGGAGACAGAAAAGCAGGGGGGCAGAGAGAGGAAGTGGGCAGAGAGCAGGAGGTGGACCGAAATGTCTGCATTATACAGTGAAGAGCCTCTGGGGGAGAAGCCCAGCCCCTGGGCTAGAGAGTGCAGGGTAGAGGGCAGGGCATGCCAGTTGTGCCTACCAACAAGTAGTGACTGCAGGATGCTGAAAGAATCTGGAGGCCAGGTCCACTTTGGATAAAAAGGGACCTTGGCTGCTTGTGCTGGGTCTGAATTCCAACACCTCAGCCTTTTGTTGATAATACAAGAATAAAAGGTAATGTGATCATCTAGGACTACTTCCTACTGACATTGGGGTGTCATTAGTATGGGGGTCCAAAGAGCTGTAATATTAGCCAAGCCTGGGAAGAGCAGGCTGTTTTACTTGCTGTTTGCATTGTGGGGCCAACCTGGGCTAGCCACTTTTGGAACTGCCCTAAATGCAGATTTTGAAGAAACACCTGGACTTGCCAGAATTCTGAGATAGATGTATATATTAGGAGCAGGAGATTAAGTTAAGGAGTTTAGGAAGAAAAATTTTGTTCTTGGGTGTACATTTGAAACTTTTAGGACCATGGTCTTAGTATTTGGAGTGGTGGGTGTTTCAGGACCAGGGAAATAGGCAGGTGGGGAGGAAACCAGGCTGTTGATTAACAGTACTTATCTGGAGTCCATTTGACCTGTGAGAGGTGAATTCAAGTGGATTTCCTAAAGCTTACAAGAATCTTTTTTTTTTAATTCACAAAAGAATCAAATTTTAGATATGTTAGTATTACTAGTGTTTACAATCTGTGTTGAAAACCACATGTAGAGAAGGCAGTAAGCTCATGCCTTTGTGCCATAGTAGAAGCTTGGGAAACTGTTCAAAATCTTGAACTTTTGATTATGAAGTATATTGTATAGTGGAAGGTTTTACCAGAGTTAGACTAATAATTTACCAGATCTCCACTAATTAATGTCAAATTTCTGAACAGTCTTAATACAACAGTAGCATAGTGAGAGGAAGAAATCTGAAGCATTTTTCATTCCTTTCTTTTTTGGGGGGTTGGGGTGCTGATCATTTCCATACAGGATTTCTCTGTGTAGTCTTAGCTATCCTGGACTCACTTTGTAGATCAGGCTGGCCTCAAACTCACAGAGAACCACCCGCCTCTGTCTCCTTGAGTGCTGGGATTTAAGGTGCACTACGGCACCTAGCTTTTCAGTCCTTTTCTATACCTTAAATTACCTCCTTATTGCCATTGAAGTCATTGTGTCCTCCAACCCTCATAACTTGCATTTACCAACTTTAAAACATCTTAGACCCTCAGACCCTTTCTTAGATACTCACTTTCTTAGATCCTCATAACTTAAGCTCGTGTATGCTCAGAACCAAAGTGTTAACACCTTTTCTTATCTAATTATTCCCATGAAACACAGAGAGTTGATTACTGGGAGCAGTCATTGTACTGTGAATTCCTTAGATAAAGAAAAGAGTAAAAAGTTACTTCTTTTATTAGTCTAGTCTTCAAACACATCAGAGACCCGAGACAGATAAATTATAGCAGGAAGTATGGTTCAAATGGCCTATATATCAACTATAATGACAGAGGTTACCCATTACACAGCTGTCCCACTAGGTTTCTGTGGTGTTGATGACTTCGTTAAGAGGACAGGTCCCAGGGCAGCATCTTTATTCAATTGCCAGGCTCTGACAAACTTTTCTGTGAAGCAGAAACTTGGGAATGCTGTCCTAGGCAAAGTAAGGCAGTTAGTTTTCTAGTGTCCTGCCTGTTTACAGTTTAAACAGAGTCCTAGCAGCAGGCAGCATTGGGGCAGTCTTTCCCACTGGTTAGTGTAGCACAATCCAGGTGGAGTTCTTTGTCATTGTGCCCATATCTTACCTTGGTGGGGGATCATTGCTAGGATTTGGGAGTCTCTGTCAAAAACCATTCTTAATTCTTTCAAGTAACTTCTCTGATTCATAGGGAAAAGCATATTATGATTTTTCTTAAAATTATAACTCATCAGCCTGTAAGGAATCTGTACTGGGAAACGTTGGGAAATGGAAGTTTAAAGTAACTCATCTGCCACATTTGAAGCCATCTCCATGTGGAGGTTTTTTGATGCTCATCATCTTCTTTGAGGTAGGGGGTGCTTCCAGAAGATGACCTGTCTCATTGTTAAAGAATGTTTAAAATAATAAAGTCACTTTTAAATGCCATATTCTGTAGGTCTCTGAAATTTTTGAAGACTAACTATCTTTATATAATTGATTGGTCTACAAAATCATATCTATCTGTTAAACCTAAGATGTATACTACTGTGATAAATTAGACTAGTGTCTGACATGACTATGAGTTGATTAACTAGTAATTAACTTGCACTACTTAATATCCTAACCAGTTTTTAATAGTTTAAAAGTATTGGAAGTAACCTTGACTTTCTATCAATATACTAAAGCTTATACCAATGTATCAAAAATAGACTTATTTTTGCATCAATATGCAAAATATTATACCAGAGTTAAAATTAACCTTATTTGAGAATAACAAATAAAACTCTAAGTTGAGTAGATTCAATAATCAACCTTTTGTCTTATTCCTGTAAGATATCCCCGTATACTCCTTTCTTTTTAACCCTTCTCCCTTATCTAAGAAAGAAAGGTAGAAAAAAGAAAAAGTAAAAGAGAGAAATCCCTGAGTATAACCTTGTTTCACTCTGACTAAGATCATTAATAACTTATAAACATCTCCCAATGGCAATAAATATTTGTAGCCATAGAAAACAACCAAAAACATACCCAATCCCCTTTAAGGAAAATTGGACATCGTTCTCATGTATTTCTTCCAGCTGACATTTTGGACATGCAGAAATCCTGTTAGGAAGCCCAAAGAAAATTGGTGGAAATTGGTTAATTAAGAAGCAGTAACATTTGTGGTACAGTCTTTGAATGTTGAGAAATTTCAGGCTTAATAAAAGTCCTGTTTGGAACAGTCTAAAATGCTAGACCAATTAAGATTAGTAGCTTTCTTCAAAAATCTCTCGGGAGCAGGCTTTGATGAGAGACAGCAACTGAAGCAGTTGAGGCAGGAACAAGCAGAATGCTGGAACATTCAAGATGCTGGAACAGATGTGTCAATGTCTCAGCATGCTGAAGGATGAATCCTGTAAGGTTTGATCCAGCATTTCCAGTGTCCCGTTCTTTTGTTCTGCAAACATATAATTTCTCAGAAGCATTATAGAGTTCAAAAATTATAAATGTATGAGTAAAAAATTTTCAAGGGATAAGGAAAAAAAGTGAAACAAAAAACAAAGGCTGGGAACTACCCAACACCTTGAAGAATCAGAGCATGTGGATTTCAGCTCCTAGATTCACCAGTTAGGAAGAATTTTGTTGTAAAATGTAGGTGCAGTTTTCTGACTCTCCATTCTGCCAGGGAGTATAAATGGCTTGTTTTCTTGGGCCTGTGGTGGCAGTAAGTGCTTACCCATCAGGTGCCTTGTGTCTTGTGCCTAGAGGCTATCACTACACCCACCAGAATTCTGACACTGATAAAATTATGGCAGAGACCAGTGCCTTTGCCATAAAATTCTTCCAGGTGCCCTTTGTTAGCTCACCAATTCCTGGCCATCTGTATGCTTTTGGAAACTCCTACTAGCCATCCATGTACTATCATTATCTGTAATTCTATCCTTTCAAGAAAGTTAAATAAATGAAGTCACATAGAGAATAACCGTGGGGACTGATTTTTCTCTCACTCATTGCATTCTCTGGGGAGTCATCCAGACTGTTGCATCCATGCCTCCCATTCCTGTTTTGCCTGTTGCATCCATGCCTCCCATCCCTGTTTTGCCTGTTGCATCCATGCCTCCCATCCCTGTTTTGCCAAACAGGATTCTGCAGTGTGGCTGTGCCACAACTTACTTGCCTGTTCATCCATTTAAGAACACCTGACTGCTGACTTTTTAGATATTAAAAATAAAGCTAATGTAAGCATTCATGTGCAGTTTTTTTTATGGATGTAAGCTTTTGTTTATCTGTGCTACATACCTCAGTACATTTGCTGAGTTGTATGGATGTGTATGTAATTCTGTATTTTTAATTTTGTTTTATTTTAGTTAGCTATTTGCCTGTGTGTGGATATGTGCTGGAGGTATCACATAGCCAGAAGCTGCAGTAAAAGGTGTTGTGAGCCGACCAACATGAGGAATCAAAGTCTGGTCACGTGGAAAAGAAGAGTGAGGTGGTAAGTGCTGAGCCACTTCTCCAGCACCGAGTATCATAACGTATATTTAAGAAACTGCCAAATTGTTTTCCAAAGTCACTGTGCCGTTTTAATTCTCAGAATGCACAATTATCTGGGTTCTCCACATCACAAGTAATTGGTGCAGTCGCCACTCCCTATTTCAGCCACTTATAGGCAGTTAGTGGAGCCTCACAAGGATTTTAATTTTTGCATTTTGCTAGTGGCACACAACACCGAAGAACTTTTCACATTCTCTTTTGTCATCTGTACTGCGAGGTGAAATGTCTCTTCATGACTTTTACCTTGTTTTTACTCCAGTATTTGATGCTTCACAGTGGAATTACTTGGCCGTCCATGGAATCTTAGCTTTAACTGTCAGTTTGACACAGCCAACAGTCATGGAGAAGAGAGGGCATTGCATATATCCTATTGGTCTGAGGGCATGTCTGTGAGAGAATGTCTTAACTGATAATTGATGTAATGGGTCCAGTTGACTGTGGCTTAGCAGCATCCATGGGCAGATGGTCATGAACTATTGTAAGAAAGCTAGTTAAGCATGATCCTGAAAGTAAGCCAGCAAGCATGAGTCCTCCATGGTTTCTGCATCAAGCTCCTGTTTGCCTGAGTTCCTGCCTGGAATTCCCTCAGTGAGAGGCTATGATCTGGATGTGTAAGGCGCAAAAGCCTTTTCCTCATCTAAGTTGCTTTGGATCAGATGGTTTTATCACAGCAACAAAAAGGAAGCTGGAACATAGTCCAATAAAAGAAAGACACATACTGTATCATTCCATTTGTGTAAGGCATTTAAATTAACAAAATTCATAGAATTCCTATAAAACAGAGGCTCATAATGGAGAGGAGGGAGCCAGGCAGCAATAGCAATGAGGGTTTAATCACACAAAATACAAAAGGTCTTGAGATACCCCGGGGGCAACATTATACCTGTGGTCAGCAGTGATGTGGTGCACAATAAAAAATGAGACAGTAAAAATTCACCTTGGGGAGGTCTTTCATTTGAATTGCAATGCTTCATATCAATAAGGCATTTTCACACACACACACACACACACACAAACACACACACACACAAAATAGTGGCAAAGTAATTTATTAAAGACTGAACTTTAGACTAATGAGATTATAACTTGCGAGCCTAGCGAAAGAACACAGATGATGTGTTTCTAACCAGTGGATTATAGTGGGTATGGTTGGGGCTGCCTGAATTATCACTACCAGTCCTTTGAACTGAGCCAGACAAAGGGGGTTCATTTAATAGAGGAGCTTCCAGAACTTTTACTCTGTTTCCCCCACAAAGGTAAGCATACCATGAAAAGAAGAGGCAAACTGAGCATGAAGAAAAAGGTCTATAGAGAGAAAGCCTCCAAGATAGTCATTGGAACAAGAAACTGTAAAATTAGTACTCAGAATCTGGCTGGAAGTAGGTCATGCAAATAGCATGTTTACTCATGTGTTTGTGTACTTTTATAAAAAAGAGCTGTTACATACATATTTGAGCCTGCTGGTGATGTTTGGGGAGGCTAAAGTAGAAATTATCCATCAAGGCATTAAAGCTTTGCAGAAAACACACGACTACCTAAAGCTCCAAAGTTGGCATTCAGTACTGATCACAAAGAAGCCCATGGAGGGGAAATGTAAGAACACAGTGAAATGAAGCTGTGTTCTCTATGCTGCCATCTAGAGCAGCACTTTGTTACATGGGAAGGAAAGATAGAAAGATTGTCCTAAAGTTTTTTTTTAATTTTCTATTAATTACACTTTATTCATTTTATATCCCCCCATAAGCTCCTCCCTCCTCCCCTGCTGATCCCACCCTCCCTCCCCTTTCTGCATGCATGCCACTCCCCAAGTCCACTGATAGGGGAGGTTCTCCTCTTCTTTCTGATCTTAGTCTATCAGTTCTCATCAAAAGTGGTTGCATTGTCCTAAAGTTTTAAGAAATTGAGGACTCTTGTGTTGTAGCTCTTTCTTTAAAACAAAACAAAAACAAAAGCAAAAACACATAGCTTGTTTTTCAACAACTTGAACCACATATTCTACTAAACAACCGCAGAAAATATCACAAGACCATGAGTTCCTTTTGAAGGTCTTGACATTAGAATAGCTGTCCTTTCCCTTCCTGGATTTATTCAAGATTTAAAAAGAACGTTAATGGCAAATTGCAAGCTATTTTCACAGATCCAGATTTTTAGCTTTTAATAAAAAGCATAAAATTTCAGGCCCTGTTTTCTGCTCTCTCTTGATTTGAGGTTTCAGCCAAATGTTTCTTTTTTTACTAATCAGTACTTGGATTTTTTTTTTGTCCTCATCTAAGTATTCTGGCCTGATTATCATCTGGAATTAGGAGAAGAGCTGACTCTTCTCATTATTAATATAAGAGGCTCCTGAGAAAATATTCAGTGCTCACCTGTGAACAGGGAGGTGGCAGCTAGTGCTTAAAAGGAGGTACAAGTTGCACACACACAAAAATACAAAATAAAAAGAATTCTCCTTTCTGATGTTGTTAGCTCATTGCAAAGGTGTCATTCTTGGAGTCATAGTGCAAGAACAGGAAGAGTTTTTCATTAGTTTATTGCAATTCAGTTCAGTGTTTAGAGATTTTATGAAGTCACTAAGGCAAATAGCAATAGAGGAATATTTCCAACACCAGCCTCAGAACTCCATACACAAGCACACACAGGTGCATGCACACTGTGAACACAATACAAATAGGTTTACACAATACACTCACACAAAACTTGGACCTCCATACACAAGCACACACATGTGCATGCACACCTCTGAACATACATACGCATAGATTCACTCACTACACTCACACTAACCTCAGGCATCCTCGTACACACACTCACATGTACATGCTCACCTATGAAGGCACATGCACATTGGTTCACACATTACACCTACATAAATATAACTTTAAAAAAGTTAAACATGTTTGTTTGCGTTCATCTTCCCTGCTCTCCTTTCATCCATCACCACGTTTTTCTTACACAGTGGCTTGAATTCCTGACATTTCTAGGGGGAAGAAGTAAACAGCACAGCATGATATAAACTGCAGGCTAGGAGGTGGTAGCAAGGGAGGGAAGCATTTATGACAGTAGTACAAGGTATGATGAATTGTTGCTTGGCCTCTCTTTCTGCTCTCAGACAGCGACAAAGCTTAAAAAGAGAATGCAGGGCATCACAGCTCTTCTCCAAAGATGAGCTATTTGGGTGACAATTCTTTCCAGTTGTCACTTTGCTTTGTGTCATCTTGGAACACACTGACAGAACCACTTAATCCATCTAATTCAAGCAGTCAAAATTGAACTGTACAACTTCAAGTCACCTCTGCACTGTGAGACTTTGGCTTGAGCCTAATGGAGCTGATGTTGAAAGGCTGTGTACAACTGTGCATTCTTATGAAATCATATGATGTCATTTTCAGACAATGACAATTAGTTCCACAGGTGGAAAAAGAGAGCCTTTTTATCAGATATCTCAACAATAGTCAGTAATATTCCAAAGGCATCATTTTCTTTGTATGAACATATATTTTCTAAATGTTGAGTGGGAAAATGAGTTTGAAGTTTCAATACCAACTATAAATGCATGTACATTACGAGTATATGTGTGTGTGCACGTGTGTATTTGTCATATGATTTAACAAAAATACAATATAATACATCCATGGCTATTAGTTATCCTCGGGTGAAAATGATGCTTAACTCTTCTTCTGTAATGTTCCGGGAGAAAACAACCCTTGACAAATCATTAAAGACTACAACTTAATGTCTCCAAAGCATTCTCTTGAAGGCCGAGGATGCTGAGGTGAGTGCCAACTCAGAGGTAGTGTTTACAGAGAGACTCTGAGTTGCACAAGGTACTGTCCTGATGGACTACATGCTGGGTGGCTGAAGTGAAGTTTTGGAACATGGGCTGACTGTTCTTTTTAAGATTTTTCCCAATACCTACTCCATCAAAATGCAAAGAGCTGTTAAAAAAGCCTTTTTGTGACTGGCCTATATGTAAACAAAACAAACATAACCAGGGTTAAACATTGTGTTAAGTACAAATACTGTATCAATTTTAATAATGTTTTAGATGGCATTTTATCAAATGGGCAATAAATATACATTAATTCAAATGTATTGGGTAATTATTAATACTTAATTAACTAACTAATTAATTAATGCAGTAAGCTATCTCATGAATTCTGATGCTGGACACATCACACATCAATGAGGAAACCATTCAGAAGTATACACCTGGATCTTACATCAAGTGAGGGAATTTGGTCAACAATGGGGAAAAAACAAACATATAATGCTTTAGAGGATGATAAATCATATGAATAAAAATGCCTGTAAAGGTGTTATGAAGTTTGTCAACTGAGAAGGGATATTATTGCAATTTACAGAAGGGTAAGGAAAAGCAGTGTTATTAAAACCCAGGAAGATACATGAAAGCAAGTGATGGATATCCAGAGGAAGAGTATAACAGGCTAAGGGGACAGTAATCCCAAATGGAGGTGGGTGCTTTGAAAATGTTCATGAAATTATCTCAACTTCCATTTAAGTGACTCTGAATGTGTGAGAATAAGACAAAGGCTGAGGCAGAGGATGCAGAAACAGAGGACACTGTTAGATACTTTAATAATTTAAACAGCAACTTTGTTTCATGCCAGAAAGGTAAAAGAAAATGCTATAAGCTTGTCAGAAGAATTGAGACTGAGCTGTTAATGGTTTTCACACAAGTGTGGGAGGGAAGGAAACTGCACCTGAGGAGGAGACAGAAACGGACACTGTTAGAGTAGAAATGTGCTCAAAAGGAAATTCAAATCTGAGGGTTTTTGTTTTTTAGGTTGAAAATGCCTAAATGAACTAAAATAGACAGAAGAACCTCTGGGAGAGAAACGTAATTGCTTCTCTATAACCTATTTTGCTACTGTTATGAATCATATTGTAAATATCTGTTATGTGACCCCAAGGAAGTCGAAA